TGCAGCACAGAATTCCAGCAGCACAGAATTCCAGGGGCAGAGAATTCCTGCAGCACAGAATTCCTGCTGTACAAAATTCCAGCAGCACAGAATTCCAGGGGCACAGAATTCCTGCAGCCCAGAATTCCAGGGACGTGGAATTCCAGGGACACAGAATTCCAGCAGCAAAGAATTCCTGCAATACAAAATTCCTGCAGCACAGCATTCCAGGGACACAGAATTCCTGCAGCACAGAATTCCTGCAGTACAAAATTCCAGGGACACAAAGTTCCAGGGGCGCACAGAATTCCTGCAGCAAAGAGTTCTGGGAGCACAAAATTCCTGCAGCACAAAATTCCAGGGGCACAGAATTCGGGGGACACAGAATTCCTGCTGTACAAAATTCCAGGGGCACAGAATTCCAGGGACACAGAATTCCTGCTGTACAAAATTCCAGCAACACAGAATTCCTGCTGTACAAAATTCCAGGGACACAGAATTCCTGCTGTACAAAATTCCAGGGACACAAAATTCCAGGGGCACAGAATTCGGGGGACACAAAATTCCTGCAGCACGAAATTCCTTCTGCTGCTGAGCTGGGAGCTCCTCCTGGGAAGGCTCCTGCTCCTCCCCTCGGCATTCCTGGCTCCAGGGGGGAATTCTGCTGGGCTGGGCTGCAGGATCCGGTTCCTTTCCTGGCTCTGGCCCCTCCAGGATGCTTCACATTCCCAACTGTTGGTGCTTGCAGAGAATTGGGGAAGGAATTCCCCTTCCTGCTGCCCGCACCCGCTCCGGGCATCTCTGAAAGGGATGGGTCAGGCTTGGCAGGGTCAGGGGAGGAAGGGCGGGCAGGAAAAGCTGGATGGAGGCAGGGAAACATGGATAGAGGCAGGAAAACATGGATGGAGGCAGGAAAACATGGATGGAGGCAGGGAAAACTGGATACAGACAGGGAAACATGGATGGAGGCAGGAAAACCTGGATAGAGGCAGGAAAACTTGGACAGAGCCAGGAAAACTTGGATAGAGGCAGAGAACCTGGATAGAGGCAAGAAAACCTGGATACAACCAGGGAAACCTGGATAGAGGCAGGAAAATCTGGATGCAGGTAGGAAAACCTGGATAGAGGCAGGGAAACTTTGATGAAGGCAGGGAAATCTGGACAGAGGCAGGAAAACCTGAATCCAGACAGGAAAACCTGGATACAGGCAGGAAAACCTGGATACAGGCAGGAAAACTTGGATAGAGGCAGGAAAACCAGGATACAGACAGGGAAACTTAGCCACAGGCAGGGAAACACTCAGGGAAACCTGGATAGAGCTAAGGAAGCCTGGTTACAACCAGGAAAACCCAGATCCGGGCAGGATTTTGCCCCAGTGTGACATTCCCAGCAGGAATCGCCTTTGTGGGGAGGGGGCAGAGCCTTGCCAAGCCCCCCAGCCCCAGATCCAGGGAACGTTTCCCAGAGGGAATGGCAGAGTCTGGGGGACAGGGAATTCTCAGTGTCCCCAGAGTGTCCCCAGAGTGTCCCCAGCTGGGCTGGCAGCAGAGCAGGGCTGCTCCGCTGCCGTGTGTGTAAACAGGAGCCTGTGGAATATCGAGTTCCAAACCTTTGCACCGGGACAGGGCTGGCAGGAAGGAGGGGGCAGAGTTTATTGCAGAGTTTCTTCCAGCTGAGGTCAGCCTTGTTTTCCCTCGCAGAGCTGGGATCCTGCAGGGCTGTAAACAACAACCCAGAGATGGGATCCTGGCCCTCTGCAAAGCTCCAGGGTTGTTTTTTTTCCCCTCTGGTTGTGGTGTGGCTGCTGCCAGGTCCCCGTGGGGTCTCTGGGAGCAGCTCTAAAAACGAAATTTAATAATTTTTAGGGCAGGAAAACCTGTGTGGCTTTGGAAAGGAAAACAAAAAAGGAAAACCCAAAGCAGCCTAAAATTCCAGGGAAAACTGACAGAAATGAGGCACAGGTTGTGCTGTCACTGCAGGATTTCAGCTCAGCTCGGTCTGAAGGGAAGGGAATTCTCATTATTGATTAATCTGACCTTAATGGGTTCATTTTACCCGGCTGAGGGGTTTGGAGGTGGTTTGGTTTGGGGTGCTTTGTGTGGAGCTGATTTTGGCAGCAGCTTCACCTCCATGGAATTGTTTGCCTTGGAAAATCCCTCTGCAGTCAGGATGGCAGCTGAAGGTTGGATCTCATCCCAAAATTCCTGGTGGAACCTCCCAGGTGCTGCTGCATTTTGTCAGCTCATGCTCCTGTTTGTTCATCAGCTGCACTGTGGGGATGAATTCCCTGGAATTTCAGACCTTTTGGGGTCAGTTGCAGGATTCTGGAGGGAATCAGCAGGAAGGAGGAGTGATCCTGATGATCCAGGTGCTTTTTTTCCATCCTCTCATCCCAAATCCAGCTAAAACCCCAATTCTGCAATCCCCCCACCCCAAATCCAGCTAAAACCCCAAATCCACAATTGGCTGTGTGGATCCAAGGATTCATGGGTGGTGCTGTGGAAAATCTCTCTGGAGCAATGGGAATGGCTGGAAATGCCCAATTCCAGAGGTTTGGAGCAGTGGGAAGGGTGGAACTGGGTGGGATTTGAGCTCTTTCCAGCCCAAACCGTTCCAGAATTCCCTGAGCCTCAGGGATTTCACCTTCCAAGGGATCCTGATGATCCAGGTGCTTTTTGCCATTCCTCCATCCCAAATCCAGCTGAAACCTCCCCAGAATCCAAGAATTCATGGGTGGTGCTGTGGAAAATCTCTCTGGAGCAATGGGAATGGCTGGAAATGCCCAATTGCAGAGGTTTGGAGGAACCTGGGGCAGTGAACTGGGTGGGATTTGAGCTTTTTCCATTCCAAACCATTCCAGGATTCCCTGAGCCTCAGGGATTGCCCATTCCAAAGCCAATTCCAAACCTGGAGCTCTTTGAGGTGTTTTTGCCTTTGTCCCCAACTCCTTTTTGCTCCCCTGACCTTGCCCCAAATTCACCTTTTTTTCCCCTCTGCCTTCACCTTGCTATTTCCACACAGAGCTGGCCCTGCAATGTGAAACCTGTCAAAAATCTCTGTTAAAAACCAAAACCAAAACAAGCTTAAACTTGTTTTTTTTGGCTGTTCCTCACCCCTGAACCCACTGCAGAGAAGGAGGAGGTGAAAGGAACCCCAGCCCAGAATCCCTGACGTGGGGTTTGACTCCTTCAGAGGAAAAAAAACCAAACCAAAACAAAACTAAAAAAACTCTGTTTGTGCTCAAGCGAGGAAAACAAGCAGGGCTGGATTTCAGCTCTGGTGGATTCTTGGAATTCTCCTCTCTGATTTCAGCTGGGTTGAGCAATGCTGTGCTGGGAAGGGGACGTGAGGCACGAGGGGTTCTGGGGAGGCTTTTGGGAGCTCTCCCAAGGGCAGCTCGTTCCTGCAGCCTGGGACTGAGCTTTTCTTGGAAATTCAACCGTCCAGGATGTGCTCAGCCACGGCAGGAAACTTTTTTTTTCAGTGCTGAAATGCTCAGGAACTTTTTTCTGTGGTGAAACCTCTTTTTTTTGGTGGTGAAATGCTCTGTAACCGTCCCTGGAATGATGTAAATGCTTCTTCTTTCTTCGTATTCCCCCCTAAAAAAATGATGCAAATTTTTCTTCCTCATCTTCTTCTCTGAAATGGGGCAAAAACTCCTCCTCTCCTTCATATTCCCCCCAAAAAATGATGCAAAATCCTCTTATTTTTATTCTCTTCTGAAATGAGGCAAACTCCTCCTTTTCTTCATATTCCCCCAAAAAAATGATGCAAATTCTTTCATATTTTCCTCTGAAATGGGGGAAACTTCTCCTCTTGTTCATACTGCCCCTAAAAATGGGAGAAACTTCTGCCTCCCATCATCCCCTTCAAAAAAGGGGGAAAACTCCTCCTCTTCTTCATATTCCCCCCAAAAAATGATGCAAAATCCTCTTATTTTTATTCTCTTCTGAAATGAGGCAAACTCCTCCTTTTATTCATATTCCCCCCAAAAAATGATGCAAATTCCTTCATGTTTTCCTCTGAAATGGGGCAATCTCCTCCCGTTCTTCATATTCCCCCCAAAAAATGGTGCGAACTCCTCTTCTTCATATTCTCCTCTAAAATGGGGGAAATTCCTCCTCTTTTTCATATTTCCCCCCCAAAAATGATGCAAAATCCTCTTATTTTTATTCTCTTCTGAAATGGGTCAAATTCCTCCTTTTATTCATATTTCTCCCTAAAAAAATGATGCAAATTCCTTCATGTTTTCCTCTGAAATGGTGCAAACTCCTCCTCTTTTTCATATTACCCCTAAAAATGGAGGAAACACTTCTCCCTCCCATCATTCTCAAAATTGGGGCAAACTCCTCCCCTTCTTCATATTCCCCACAAAAAAAAAAATGCAAACTTCTCCTCTTATTATTCTTCTCTGAAACAGGGCAAACTCCTTCTCTTCTTCATATTCCCCCCAAAAATGGGGGAAATTCCTCTTTATTTTTCATATTCCCCCCTAAAAAATGGTGCAAACACTTCTCCCTCTCCTCATTGCCCCCTAAAATAGGGAAGCACTTCCTATTTTTAACATTTCCTCCAAAAAATGAGGCAAGCAAACACTTTTCCAATTCCTCATTCCCCTCAAAAATGATGCAAAATCTTTTCCTTCATTTCCCCCCAAAAATGAGGCAAACACCTCTCCCTCTCCCCATTCCCCCAGAATTATACAAACCCCTTTCCCTCTCTGCTTTCCCCCCAAAAAATACAATTTAGACCCAAATATTTCCCTGAGCCCTCACTCAAGCTGTGATTTATAAAAACAAAGGAAAATTCCACAACTTCTCTGTCATTATTCTGATTTTTGATCAATGAATGTCAGCCCTGATTTTCCAGTGAATAATTGGATATTGATCAAACCAGGCATGTCCCTCACCAATTATAATTAATGCCATGATGGGGTAAATATCCCAAATTATAACTTTATTAATAACCCAGCTCCATCTGCTCAGGCTGGTTTATCTGAATTCCCATTTTTCTTGGCAGGACAATCCAGGAATCCAGAAAAAAATCAAGGAATCCACCTGGAGAACGAGGCTGCTCTGCAGTAGGAAGGTGAGCACATTTGTCTCATTATTGATTGATTTCCTATTAATTGGTTAATTTATCTGGAAAACTGTCTGGATGAGGGGTTTGGATGTGAATTTGGGTTCTGTGGGTGCTGCTGGTTATGAGGCCTCATTATGTGCTGCAATTACCTCATTAATTAGGGAGAGAAATCTCTGCATTCCAGAGGGGACCTGGAGCTGTGTGGGAGCTGCTGTTCCATGGGAAGCTCTGTGAAGGGGTTGTTTGGGGTTATTTGGGGTTTTTTGGGGTTGTTTTGGGGCTTTTTGGGATTGTTTGGAAGTGACAAACCCAGAGCTGGGAATTGTGCCTTTGTTGTCCCAGGGCTGGATCCTCCTCAGGGTTTTTGTTGGAATAACTTTGTGAATTCAAGGGGCAGGAGGCTGAGCCCTGTCTGGATTTGGGAGGGGTTTGAGCTCCCCACAGGAGATCAAACTTTGGGACAAGAGGACATTGAGGTGATGAGGATGATGATGATGATGAGTGGTTGCTGCTCCTGGCTCACCCAAAGAGCTGAGATCCAGGTGGATCCAGAGCTCTGCGTTTCCCCAGCTTTGGGAAATGGAAATGGGCTGATTTTGTGCATTTTTTGTGAAAAATCCCTTAAAATCCCATTTTTTAAGGGAAAAAAATCTCCCAGGATTTCCTTGCCTGCAGTTCCTCAGTGCGGCCCGCAGAGGGCGCGCGTGGGCCGCGCTTGTGGGGCTTCGCTTTTATTATCTATTAATTAGTTTAATCTCATTATTTCTGTGGAAATTCCTTCATCAAAACGCTCCCAATGCTTTAATTAAAACTGGAACCACCAGCAGAGCGGGGTGAGGCTCTGCAGGGCCACCAGGAGCAGTGGGGTTTTTTGGATGAGGATGATGAGGATGAGGATGGATTTTCACCCTGAGCCGAGGTCTCTTCACCACAACCCCAACGCCCAAAAAATCACCCCAAAAATCAAATTCGCTGCCAAAGCTCTGGGTGCCATCGGCAGGTGGCAGCAGCCTGCCCTGCTGCCCCGTGTTATTCCTGGCTGGGAGATTCCCTGGATCCAGCCCCACAGTCTAGACCGACTGACAGACAGGATTCCTGTGCTCTTAGGTAAGCACGGACAGACACCCATTATGCAAATCCCCAGCCTGAGCAGCCTCCCAAACATTCCTCAGATTGTCTAAATAAGGTGCTGTTTCAGACCCAAGCTTTTGGGTGCCTTCCAGCTGGAGGTGGGATTTTTTTTTTCAATTCTTTTCTTCTTCTGATCAGCACAGCCTGAATTTTGGCCTCAAAAACTGCCCAGATGTGCAGGGAGGAGAGAAAATTGGGCAGATAAAAAAAACTTTTAGGCTCCTGTCGTGCCTCTTGCTGCTGGGTGCTGTTAAATGTGTTTTATATTTATTTTTTGCACAGAACTCATGGCGTTTTTTGCAGTCAGCTGTGAGTGGGGAAGGTGCAGTGACCCAGCCTTGCACGGAGGTGTTGCCCTGCTCAGGGCCTGCCTGACTCATTGCTGGGGCTGGAGGAGGTGGGGATGGATCATCAGGGATGATCCAGAGCCTTTGGAGCGCTCTGTGCCATTTGCACTCTGTCCTTTTCATGCACACAGAAATTCAAAGAGCCTTTCAAGCCCTGTGGCTGCAGAGTTGTTTGTGCTGCTCTGGCTCTTCCACCATTCTGAATTTCCCAGGAATTTTCCTTCCATCCTGCTTCTGTCCCTAAAATCCATCCCTAAAATCCATCCTTAAAATCTGTCTGTAAAATCTCTCCCCCAAATCTCTCCTTGGAGCACACAAAGAACTCAGACTGAGCTGCTCCAGGAGTTGAGAATTGGCTCTCAGCCCTGCCAATGTTTTCCCTCAGGAAAACATTGGAAACCCTCCTGCTCCTGAATCCACGTGATCTTCCAGTCCCTAAAATCCATCCCTAAAATCTCTCTGTAAAATCTGTCCCCCAAATCTCTCCTGCCCCAACCTGGAGCACACCAAGAGCTCAGACTGAGCTGCTCCAGGAATTGGGAATTGGCCCTCGGCCCTGCCAGGAAAACATTGGAAACCCTCCTGCTCCCGAATCCACGTGATCTTCCAGTCCCTAAAATCTGTACCTAAAACCTGTAGCTAAAATCTCTCCCCAAATCTCACTTTGGAGCTGCTGCAGCCCCTTCAGAGCACACAAAGAGATCAGGGCTGAGCTCCTGAGCTGCTCCAGGAGTTGGGAATTGGCTCTCAGCCCTGCCAGGAAAGCATTGGAAACCCTCCTGCTCCTGAATCCACGTGATTTTCTGGGAATTCACTTGGAAGGCTGGCTCAGAAATCCCTGCATGGGGTGGTGCTGGCTCAGGGTGAGGAGTTTGTTCTGGTTTCTTTGTGGTGGCCTCTCAGCCTTGTCAGTACCAGCTCTGCTCTTCTATTCCTTGCCTTTAAAAAAAAGGCAGGAAAATTAATCTGTTGTGTTGTTTTTCTTTTTAAAATTGCATCATCCCTCCTGTTTTCCTGAGTGTTGTTTGTTTAGGGGCACAGTTAATCCTTTAAGGATTAAAGGGAAGAAAAGTTGGGATGTTCACTCTTGTTTTAGGGAGAAATGAGGAGAGGGAGAGGGGTTTGCCCCATTTTTGGGAGGGAATGAAGAGAAGTGTTTGTCTCATTTTTAGGTGGGAATGAGGAAAAGGAGAGATATTTACTCCATTTTTGGGGGGGAATGAGGAGAGGGAGAGGTGCTTGTCTCATTTTTAGGTGGGAATGAGGAGAAGGAAAGATGTTTTCCCCATTTTTTGGGGGGAATTAGAAGGATAGGAGCCGCTTCCCTCATTTTTGGGAGGGAATGAGGAGAAGGAGAGGGTTTGCCCCATTTTTTGGGGGGGAATGAGTAGAAGGAAAGATGTTTTCCCCATTTTTAGGAGGGAATGAAGAGAAGGAGAGGTATTTACTCCATTTTGGGGGGAAATGAGGAGAAGGAGAGATGTTTGCCCCATTTTTGGGAGGGAATGTGAAGGATGTGAACTGCTTCCCCCATTTTTGGGAGGGAGTGAGGAGAAGGAAAGGTGTTTGTCTCATTTTTGGGAGAAAATAAGGAGAAGGAGAGATGTGTTCCCCATTTTGGGGGGAAATGAGGAGAAGGAGAGGTGTTTACCCCATATTTGGGGGGTATTGGAAGGATAGGAGCTGCTTCCCCCATTTTTGGGAGAGAATGAGAAGAAGGAGAGGTGTTTGTCTCATTTTGGGGGGAAATGAGGAGAAGGAGAAGTTTTTGCCCCATTATTGGGAAGGAATGAGGAGAGGGAGAGGTGTTTGCCCCATATTTAGGTGGGAATGAGGAGAAGGAGAAGTGTTTGCCCCATTTTTGGGAGGGAATGAGGAGAAGGAAAGATGTTTCCCCCATTTTTAGGAGGGAATATGAAGAACAGGAGGAATTCCCCCAAACAGAGCCACGAGGGAAACTCTGAGCAGGGTGGGACCCTCATTTCCCACCATGAGAACTGTGATTCTGTCTTTTCCTGGGTGGGACCCTCCTTCCCACTGTGATCTGTGTTTTCCTGCTGGAAATTCTGTTTTTTGGGGGTGATCTGCATCCCCCATTTCCATCCACGCTCACGGCGCCGCCTTTGTTTGCAGCTGCATCCCAATTCCCCCTCATCTCTGCCAGATTTTCCTCTCTGGCAGCAGGAAAATCCCAAACCCAAGCCCTGCCTGCAGTTCCCAGCAGCTCTGGAGCCCTTTTCCAGCTCAGCTCAGCTCAGTTTTGCTGCTTTGCCCTTTCTGCTCGGAGATGGGAGATAAGGAAGCAGCCGGAGCGCTGCTGACTCACTCTGGGGTTTGTCCTTCCTGCCCTCCCACACTGCACCTGCACACCCAGAAACCTTCACCCCGCTGCCCCCACACGGCTTTTCCAACCCCAAAATTTCCCTTTTCTGCTGCTCCACCAGCTGAGGAAACCCCTGGGGTTTGTTTTTGGGGAGATGTGGGCAGGACAAAGGGATCACCGGGGTTTGCTTGGTGCTGCTTTTCCCATCCTGAGTCACCCAAGCTTTCCCTGGGAATGCTGAGAAATAAACACCAGGATCATCCCAATAAACACCAGGATCATCCCAATAAACACCAGGATCATCCCAATAAACACCCCCAGACGTCCCATTCCAGCTGCAGGAAGGTTTGCCTTGTCTGCACCCCAAACCGAGGAGCAAATCCTCATAAATCCACACAAATCCATAAAATCCTCCCCACAAAACACCCCCCATCCATAAAAAAAACCCCAAATCCCTGGGTTTGGGGTTGGTTTGGGGATTGTTTCCCAGCAAGGCTCACGTGCTCTCCGAGCTCAGGGTGATTTGTCAGAATTCTGAGAAGTTCAGAGCTGTCAAAGCACAAAATGCTCGTTTGGGGATGGCTCAGCTGAACCTTTTTGGGGGAAATAGGAAACGCTGCCTGGAAGAGCTGCTGAACCCACAGAAAAGCTGGGAAAAGCTGAGGAAATTGCAGCTCTTGGAAGTGAGATCACTGATGAAAGATTTGGGTGAAAAGCCCAAGTTTTCAGGGAAAACCCAACAAACTGGGAAGGGTTTTTAGGCAGCAGTGAAACATCTGTGGTTTGTAAGAAACCTTTTGCTTCCTCCTGAGCTCCTGCACTTGAGCTCACCAGCACAAAACTGATTTTTAAACCATTTTTTTTTTAACGTAAAACTGAAACTTGAAACTTGAAAACTGATTTTTAATCGGTTTAAATATTTTTGAAAGCCTCAGGTTTTATCATAAACTCAGTCTGCAAACACAGGGAACAAGCTGGAATTGCTGATCCTTTGCTCCTTCCCTCCTGGATGTTGATTTTCCTCCCTTCAGAGAGTTGACACCTCTTTGTTTTCCCAGGTTTTGGGGGAATTTGAGCTCAGTTTTCCCACAGAGGGGGATCCCAGCCCCTGGGAAAACTCAATTTTTATCTGGGTGCACATCTGGGAAAGGCATCACAGGCTGGGAACGGCTCCAGCCGCAGTTCCCAGCCCCAAATTCAGGATT